TTTTCAAATGTAGCTCTGGAATGTGGAAGACCATCAAAATTAGAAAATGGAAAACATAAGTATTCCTCAAGAAGACTTGGGTCTGTTGTAAAGTATCAGTGCAATGAACCGTACACCTTGATCGGACCCAAGAAGCGTACTTGTCGTGGCATAAGGAGATGGGATGGCACTGACCCTTTATGCAGTAAGTAATAGTCTTCTTGATTGCCTTGTTTTGAAATCATAAATAACCTTGGCAATTAAGGACCTCTTGCTGTGTTATTTGGTCTTTGAAAAGTTAAATGATAAAAGAAAAGAAGAAAGTTAGCTTTAAAAAGGTGGATTTATCATATGACGAGAATATGACGACAAGGAACAGGATTTGATTTTCCTTTAGTTATCTAAATTGGTTGGAGTTCTTGTTGCATTAGTTTTAGTCTAAAGACGTGTTTGAAACTGCTTTTGTAGCATTGTTAATGCTCGAAGTAGTCAACGCTTTGTTAATTTTTTTCTGTTATAATTCTTTTTAGCGAGACCAAAGAGGGTAATCCAGTGCGAGTAAGACCCTTTCTCCCTTACCGCCCTAATCCTACGCCACACCCCCCGCCCACTCGCTGACCTGGACATGACATAGCAACTTTTTTAGGCTAGTAAATATCTTTGATGGAGTAATGGAACTAAGTATCACAGATACAATTCAAAGACGAAATGTTTTTACTCTACACAATATGTACCTTTCATCAAACACGATACGGAAACGAGGAGTAACCTGTAAATTCAAGCCCCAGGTGTTAATTTTTTGCTTATAGTATGCAATGCTACAATTCTTTGCCGTTCTCAGGGAACCATTTATTTTTCCCTTTCCCAGAAATAATCTGCAAAGATCCTGGAAATGTCGTTTATAGTACCAAGCAACTGCACCGCCGACGAAATTACGAGGAGGATTATTTGGAAGTAGGAGATAGAGTGGAATATAAATGCTTTCCAGGTTTTGAAATGGAAGGCTCAAAAGATCTTATTTGTGGCTCAAAGGGGGAATGGAATAAAGATAAGCCAAAGTGCAAACGTAAGTTATTGTTATTCCGAAGCCTTCTCTCTCACCAGAGTGGCTGCGTTTAATGATGCGTTGAGAGAGATTGGGGTGCTACACTTTTAAGCCTTACCTTTTCCAAGGGTTTAGTCGTTCATTTAAAACACAGTTTCCTTCAACGCTTTTACAACTGAATTTCATTTAGAAAAAAAATATGGCTGTCGTTATGATTATAAATACTGTTATGCTCTATCATCCTTTAATGTTCTCAATCACTGTAAAACGTGACTTTGTTTTCATGATTTTTGCAGTGCCTACCTGCGATCCTCCACGGCTTTCAGACAATGCCGATTTCAGGGTGCCTTCTCAGAAAAGGAAACGCTCGTTCAACTATCAAGAGAAAGTACTTCTAAAGTGTCGAACGGGTTACTACCAAAACGGAATGCTAGGTCTGCTAACATGCGGACCGAAAGGACGATGGGCTAGTTCTTCGTTCACTTGCTCTCGTAAGTTAAAAAAAAAAAGAAAAAAATGCAACGACCAATATCGGAGTCACTTGGACAAGTTTATAATCATTCACATTGTAAGAGAGAAACAATTTTGTGTTTGAGCAAAGAAAGAAACGATGAAAAAAAAAAAAGAACTAAGACGGCTCTTATTGCTCGTCTCTAGGGCTAAAGTCTCTAGGGCTAACGCTCGAAACGTTAGCTTTTTAACTCGTTACGGTGGCCAATTTACAATTTCAACTTAGTTGATGTAACCAAATTTCCTACAGTTTCTTAGGAAACTTTTAGCCTTTTTCTAGTATAATTGGTCAGTTTTGTGTAAATGACTCCGGTAACAGTTGCCGCAGTGTAAAATCCTTTGATAAACTTTCCTTTCAAGTTTTTTGTCTTCCTTTGAACTTAATTTTACAACTAGGAGATTTAGTTGTAGTGTATAAAGCACAAACGGGAAGATTATCTTTGTTTTGAATTATATCAAAAATAGGCAGATGTTTGTGTTTACTCCAGCTTTGGGAATGGGATCTTTGGTGTTTACACTTTTTCGAAATCATGATTCACATAAAATTTTAATTTGTATGTGAAATTTACCACGTGAAAGATATGTTAATAACATGTGACAAAATGTGTTCCCTTTCATAAGGCGCTTTCACATGCCTTTTGACCAGCTCTTGGGCCTGCTTGTGAAAAGCTTGTACTCACGCACGCGGGATGGATAGCAGAAAGTGGACAATCGGAATTTCTTACTCGACTCTACAATAGAGCGTATGAATAAAGGGAATGGAACCGACTATTTTTCTGTCAAAAGTTGCCATTTATATGGCTAGGTTTGAAAGCCAATGAGCCTTAACTCCCGCCTCATTCACACAGGCTGTTAAGGCTTTCTTCCCTTCAGTCGTCGGATGGTAAAGACACCGGTGTTGCGTTTTTATTTTAGGGAAAACATTACGTTGATAGATAACTTTTAGGGAAAGAAGCTAATACTGGGCTATTGATCGTATCTTAACAAGTGGCAAAGATTTCGAAGTAATTCTCTCATCGATTAAAGGTATAATTTGGATATATCAACAAAGTTGAAATGGTAAATTGGCCACAGTAACGATTACAAAAACTGACGTTTCGAGCGTTAGCCCTTCGTCGGAGCGATTAATGGTAGTTTTATTTCCTTTGTGTTCACAGCAAAAAGTTGCGGCAGGCCACAAATTCCTCGCAACGGCAACGTGAAATCACACGTTTTTACTTTCCGAAGTAAAGTTTATTTTGAATGTAACCCTGGTTTCAGGCTGATTGGAGAAAAATACCGCCAATGTCAGGCGAATCAAGAATGGAGTGGACGTGCGCCAACCTGTAAAAGTAAGATATGAGGATGTTCGTGTTTCCTTAGAGGCTGTTTAACTAGGCAAAGAGAAAGGCGTCGAAGAGAAAGACAAGAGGGTGGAAAAGCTAAGGACCCAGCGAGCTCCCTAGAAAGAGAGATGTTCATCTATCTTACAAACAACAAGTAACATTCATGCGATAGATCTCTTCGGAGACGAATCTTTCCTGAAAATTGGTGCTTCCCCTGTTATTTCCCATAACAGGCCCCACTCCCCACTTCCCTTCCCTTAAAAAACTCACGAGTTTTATTATAGTGAGCTCAGAGGTGTTCATTCCTCGGAGGAATGAACACCTCTGAGCTGGTTATATATACTGTTGCTTTTCATTTATCTCAATAATTCTTGTTTTTTTGTTCGTTAAAGCAATTAATTGCGGAAGGTTGTCAACCCCTCATAAAGCTTCGATAGTTTCGGAAACTCACACAGGATTTGGCGGTTACGTCAAATATCAGTGTAAGGAGAAAGGCTATGAGCTGATTGGCTCGGAGACTCGAGTTTGTCAAAACGATGAACAGTGGAGCGGAGTTAAACCTTCATGCCAAAGTAAGTACTAGTCTTTTACAAACAAACTTCATCATTATACCTCTTTTCAAAAGAGGATGATTCACAATGCAAAGGCCTTTCTACATTTTTGACGTACTGTCTCGCTGTTGTTCAGACGTCTTTGGGTTACGAATGTGTGTTTTTCATAGATGCCTGCGGTGTTCCAAATGTTTGCCATGCCGGCCATTTTGTTTTTATGCATCTAATCTCATTACCACATGAGCGTTTGTATAACTTACAAATTAAAAATTATGTCGTCTAATGGATATGTGCCCCTGAATTCCATGGGGGTAAAGTAAGTGACCCTAAATCTTACGTGTCACAATCCTCCCGAGGGAATTATACCTCTAAATCTCGTTTTCTTTATTTACAGTTGTAAACTGTGGAGATCCAGGTACTCCAGCCAATGGTAAACGAGTCCACATTACAAATGGTTTTCACTATGGTAGCTCGGTGAAATTCGCTTGTGACGCGAACTACAGTTTGGAAGGATCCGAAAAAATAACTTGTGAAGAAACAAAAGAGTGGAGTTCATTTATCCCACGATGTCGGGGTGAGTTAAAATTGTTATGAAAGAATCATCATTGAATGACGCTGTGGTATGATGAGGAGGGGGGAGGGGTAGGGGAGGGGGAGGGAGAGGGTTGGCTACAGCCCAGTTGAGCAGGGTTCACTAATTACCCATTTACATCACAGCTGGAATTTATCATCATTTCCCTTTTGCTTCGGAGTCTTTTCGCGAGCGAAGAATCGTAGGGTGGTTCCTGAAGTCAGGGTCCTCTCGTTAATGGTAGACAGAACTTAGATGAAATTAAATGTACTATTCTGAGGGTCTCAATGGGGGAGGGGGTATCATGTTGGCGGTTAGAAATAAGCTCTTTTGACGGTTAAATTTTAAGTCATTTGACGGTTGACGGTTAATTTTTTAGAATGTCGTTTATGAAACGAATTAAACGCGTGAATTTGGCCGTAATTTTTCGTTATGACGCGTTTGTAAAGAACTGTTAATTTATCACACCTTCTATAAATGACTAACTTTCTACGACGCCGGAAGTGTTTCCACCTCAGAAATCAGTTCTGTCGCTAACCAATTTTACTCGCGACTAGAAGGAGAAGGACTTACGTAAATTTATTTTTGTAATATGTCAAAACTTTTATTAATAAACAACAGAACTTGACCCCAATTAAGACAATCGTTTAGTTCTTAAGTAAGGATATCTGAGACATTTGACGGCTAACATTGGCTTGCTTGTTTAACGGTTGATGGTTAAATTTTCCTTTTTTGACGGTTGACGGTTAAAACGAATGACACGTTCCCCATTTACCCCAAATACTTTTAATGATACTTTCAGCATCATGTTCTAACCCCGGTGTGCCAGTTAATGGGGAAAAAAAAGGAGATGACTTTAAGCATGAGAAAACAATAACATTTCGATGCCACGAAGACTATGAACGTGTCGGAGGAGAAACTATCCAATGTATTGATGGAAAGTGGAGTGCCAAAATACCTCAGTGCAAAGGTAAAAGACATACTTAAACGGTACTGATAACAGGTCTCTGTGACGAATAAGTCATTAGAAATCGAGTAGGAAGATTTTCATGAACTTGAATTCTGACGTCTTATCTGGATATCGAGATATTGATGATAGTAATCACATATTCTCATGCATTCAGTACGCTCAAGTCACTTGGAAATTTTTCTTTTCTTGTCAATTTCCGGCTTAGATCAAGGGCCCTGTTAATATCATTCTGCGTTTCGTTATTTGGTGTTTGATACGTTATACATAGTCCTATTTCTTAGTTATCTCGTGCGGAGATCCAGGAACACCTAAACACGGACGGCAAACGAAGGTCGGGAACAATTTTTCCTTCAGAGGAACTGTAGCATTCCAGTGTAACGATGGCTACACCTTGTTTGGCAAATCTTCTCTTTCTTGCCAAAGGAGCAAGATGTGGGATGGAGACGTTCCAAAGTGTTTAGGTAAATCTCTTACATTATATATGAATTTGTAATTTAATATTTGAGCATCCAAAGGCTTAAAGTCGCGATCACTCTGATTTGTATTAAAGTTCGACACGATTTCCTCATTTAAAAAAGCCATCATTAGATGGTCTACAGTTGCATAATTTTTCATTAACTTACATTGCGAAAGTACAACTTTTCACGCTTCATTTGGGCATGGTGCCTTCTGGTTTTCTCTTCTCTTTAAGAAGAGAAAACTAGGATTAAGAAAAACCGCTTAAATCAAGTGAAATCGGTAAAATAACGACACCAGGAGCAAGCAACACACGTATGGAATAAGGTAAGCCATTTTTATTTAATATTTTCACTTTTAACTATCTCTATGGCTATCTTGTAGAAAATCCCATACAAATCCTTATAAATCGATATGCAAATTGTGTTCCTTGTGTGGTTCTCAAAGAGAGCTTGGGCCGCCTGTGATTTCAGTCAGCATATTGATTTTTATATTTGATATAATTACTACAAAAAATGTTTTACTTCCGCGAAAGGCCAATTCATAAGTCTGATAACAATGGAGAACAGCTCAAAGATAGGCTTGGGATATGCAATCACTGTGCGGCCGTGAAATTAACGTGTTTGGCTCGGTAGCGTGAGAGAAGGGTGGAATAATGTTCCCTTTTCTTTTTGGTGGACAACGATAATACGTTCGCCTAGCATTTGACGGAGGTACCTTTATTCAGCTCGAAAACTACTTTCGCTCGAATAAAGGCTATAATTTTAGACAATTGTTTTTTTCATTTCTTTTGATCTTAAGCATCCTGCTCTGACCCTGGGCATCCACGTTATGGGATAACCATTGGAAGTGGTTTTGAACACGACTCAGTCGTAAACTTCAAATGCTTACCCTATCGTGTTTTAGAAGGCGCCTCGGAGTCAAAATGTGTCAACGGGAGGTGGACTGCACAGCTTCCAAATTGTAAAGGTGTGAAAGGTTACTTCAATGCTGCATAGTCATTGAAAGTCGTTGATTTTTTAGGGAGTTCAAAATTGTGATCTCATATTTGTCGTAGCCAAACTAATTAGTCGCCGGGTGGGAAAAAGAAAAAATAAGTGAAGTCGTATTTCGTAAACCTTACCATAATCGTATCCTAATCGTAATCGTTTCGTATAGTAAACTCCCCCCAAATACGACCCTGTCATAGCGCACATATAGTGAACAGTATCTGCGAGAGGTTAACTGGAAAATGAACAAACTACCATCGGCAAGAGACATTGGTTTTCCCATTCCCTGTTACAGTTGAACATTTGTGCCGTACACCTGCCCTCAATAAGTCATTCCCGGAAATAAAAATAAAAAAAAACTGTGATTCACTTGTCAGCTAGATAATACATGTAGAACCACATTTCACCAATCCTTAGGCTCTGCCCTACATGAGGATTACCTCATCTTCGATTGGAAGTTGATGGGACTATTAACAATATTTAAAGATTCTAAGTGAAAACATACTGCTGGTAAAATTGCTCATGATGATGTCGGAGCAGAAGAATCTTTGGTTGTTCTGTTTCGAAGATCAGAAACTCATAATCATCAGCTTAGATGATGAGATCAATAAGAAAGCTACCCCTTTCAAAGACATAGTGTGCTGAGAGAAACTACGGGTTCGACTGAAAGTTTCATTCTGAAATCGTAACTAATAGGCTACTATTCATTTTATTTTATGTTTAAGATTGCAACGAAAGCCTGAGTGCCTCCATGACAGATAAGTGTCAAATCGACGAAAAGTGGACTCTTTGTGAGATAAAACTTCGAAAGAAAAGCGCGATTACAGCGGCAAGTATTCAGCCGGGCGACGATAGAGGAAACGTTAGAAATGTTCGCATCAGTGCGCATTCCGATGCTGGATGGGTACAAATTGGTAAAAGATTCATGGTAAAAACACCTGTGTATAACATTATTCTCTTATTTCCTGTCTTTTTCTGTTCAGCCCTGAAGAATAGTGACAAAGTGAAGTATGAAAGATTGGTATTGAAGTAGCTGTCATATTCTCTTTCATGAATCAATCAATCAATGAATCAATGAATCAATCAAACTATATTTAAAGAGGATGACACAATATTTAAAAACTAATGAACTTGTGG